ATCTGTGAGAGGCTTCTTGTCCACACCCGGGCCACTGGGCCTACTGAGGGTCCTGGGGCCTCGACACTGGCCAACCCAGGCCGGAGGGATGGAGCTGGGGGGTCTATGTGAGCCAGGAGCCCTGAGGCAGTGTGCTGGCTGTCCTCCAGGTCAGCAGGCGGACCCACATCTGCCGCTGACTGTGGGAGCGGCCATGGCACGAGGGGCGAGGGGCCACAGGTGACGGGGCCCCAGGCGTGGAGGACCGTGTGACCTCAGGCCCCGCTCGGGACTGCAACACGCGGCGGGTAAAATATCGGACACCCGGTGACTAGGAAATAGTGACTCATTTTGTAGCTCAGTAAATCTTCCATGTTTTAATTTCCAGTAAATAAAAAATTCTTAGTGTAAGCATGCTCCATATTTAGTACAAGTGCATTGCAAATGTTTTTGAGGAGAGGGTCGTTGTGCTTGTTGCTCCTGTGGTGAGATATGCATGAAACTTACTGTCTGCCCCATCTCGGAGCCCAGCTCGATGGCAGTGAGCAGGCTCAGGTCACGCAGCTGTCGCCCCCGCCCATCCCAGCGCCCTCTTCATCTTGTGTGACTCTGGCTCTGCCCTCTCCCCAGCCCCATGCCGCCACCGTTCCTGCCACCGTCCCACCGGCCAGCTCTGACTGGGCTCTGAGGGGCCTCAAGTGAGCGAGCTGTGCAGGGGCCACAGCGCTGTCTGAGTCTCCCGAGCGCCCGGTGCTGGTGGGGCTGTGGTTTCCCATTGTTCAGTGGCTGGCAGACACCTGTCTCTGCCTGCTGGCTGCTGTGAATGCTGGGAACAAGGCTGATTGGCTCTCTGTTCAAGTTCCTGCTATTCATTCTTTTGAGCCAGAATTTTTATACTAAGAGTTCATTGTTCATCTGAAATTCACATGTCACTGTGCCTGCCAACCTCCCATGTCGGCACCGCAGGGCACACCCCTGCCTCCCGGGCAGGTGGGCAGAGTGCTGTCAGGGACCCAGCGGGACCTCTGGGCACACAAGCAGGCTGGCTCCTGCTCGCCCCTGCCCCACGGGGACTGAGGGAGGCGGGAAGGCTGGGCTGCTCCGGCCGATGACCTTGGGCACAGGGCCGATGACCTTGGGCACGCCACTTTGCCTCCTGCCTGTCGCTGTCAGCGACAGAATGGACAGTACAGCAGTAGAGCAGCTGAGATTAAATGATTCTCAGCCCACGGAGGGCACCAACCCTGGGTGACACAGAGCTGTGCTCGGGCCCCCAGGCTGCCCGCTGACCTGCCTCTGGGAGAGGTCTCGGTCCACCAGCCCATGATGACGGCGGGCCGGGCCCCCCCCCCCAGCGCCCACACTAGGCCGCCGAGACCCTCCCGAAGACGTATTGGTACCTACTTGTATATTGGGCACCAGGTCCGGCTGGGCACTTGGCAGAGATGAGAGAAAAGAAGTGATACTTCTCCTGGCAGAGCTGCCTGCCTGCCGGAAGGGTGGCCACTCGGGACTCGGAAGCCCCAGGGAGGTCAGGGCTGGGCAGGTGCGGCGCCCAGGGGCCAGGAAGGTTTCCAGGAGGGGCAGTGAGTGGTCGGTGTGGGCAGGCCAGGAGAGGGTGGGAAGGAGGCACAGGCTGCAGAGCGTGGCTCAGGGCCGTGAGGTGGCTTCCGGGAAGTGACTGGGCGAGGTGAGAGGCCTGGTGCCTTCACCCTGCCCTCTGGTTTTGCCCTGTCCACTGCACAGTTCTGGGTCTGCTTCTGTGCTGGCACTCAGCTGCACTGAGTCCCCTGTGCAAGTCCAGGATGTCATGTGGACGCAGCAGAGGGAGCAGGACCAGTGGATCCTGTGGCCTTGTCGGCTTCGCTGTGACCCCAGAGGTGGGTGGGTGGGCAAGCTCGATGGGAGAGGGGTGGACAGCCAGGGTCTCCCAGCCAGCTGTGGGGGTGAGGGGGGTGGCCCCTGGTGAGTGACCTCTGCAGCTGGCTGCTGTGGATGGGAGTCAGGGCTGAGCTTGGCCTGGTGGCTGAGGCTGCCCGGAGCTCAGAGTGGGCCCTGCCCTGCAGCTGGGACCCGGGGCCAAGGACACAGGCAACCTCGAGGTCTCCTTCCACCCCAGTGTGTGCCAGGGCCTCAGCATGAGCTGGGACACTGAAGCAGACCAGTGCGATGGGAGGCCTGCTTGGAGGACCCAGGGTCACATTCAGTCAGGCCTCTTGCAGTGCCAAGACACCCCCAGATCGGGCGTCTACTGGCAGGCTGGCCTGCCACAGGAGTCCCCAAGCAGGCTGCAGGCAGCAGGCTGCTTAAAGAGCACCCGTTCAAGCCGGTGGCAAACCCTTCTTCTGGGTCCTAGGTGTGTGGCCTGCCTTGACCGGGAGCCTTTGGGCACTTTGTCTCCAGGCGCAGACTGGCTAGGGCCCGAGGGGACCCAGACCTGCAGAGAGGAGACTGAGTGGGTGGTTGGGGGGAGCTGAGCCCTAACAGGGGACCTGTGGGACCTGGACAGCAGGGAGCCAGGGTGTTGCTGGGAAAGCTGCCTGCGTGATGGGGGAGGGGCAGCCTTGACCCCATAGGGTGACCGAGGAAGGTGCGGCCAGGTGGGGGTTGGTATGTCCTGGGGAAGATGGGGACCTTGGGAACAGGTGGTTATGGGATGGAGCCCCAGGGGTCCAGGACTGGGATCTGGAGGGAAAAGGGTGACCAGGGCAGCCTTTGAGCATCCAAGACATCGGTGAGCATCTGGTGTTAAGTGGGACAGGGGCTTCCAGATACATGATCAGCAGCCCCTTTCCGTTACCCAACTCCCCATTTGCCAACCCGGAGCAGGCAGGAAGCGAGGGGGCCAGTGCCGCCTGGGGGCTGCTGCCCAGTTCCCATGGAGACGGGGGCGGGGCGGGCAGAGCCATGGCCTTGCGCGCCAGTGCGGCTGCTGCGCCTGGTCCTCCCGCCGGTTCCCGCCATGCGCGATCCCTTCTGCGGCCGCAAGGGGGTCCAAGGGAGCCGGGACCGGGAGCCAGGCTGACGAGCAACCCGTTCGCCCGTGCCCACCGCGGTGGCCTGGCCAGCCCCATCCACCTCTCACCCAGTCCCGCGCCCCGCCCGCGGCTCTGCGCCCTCTCCGCCCCTCGCTGCTCCGCCTCCGCCCCGCGTGCCGCAGCCCCCGCCTGCGCACCGCCCCCCCCCACGCGGCCGCGCCCACTGCGGCAGCCCCTTCCGCGCCAATCGCGTCGCCCTCTCCCCGTCCCCGCCTGCCGCAGCCCCCCGCCCGTCCCAGCCGCTCCCACTGCGCAGCGCCCCCTCCCCGCCCTGGTGCGCGGCACGGTGCGGACCCTGCGCGCTGCTCCGCAGCCTTTGTGCCGCCTCGGGCTGCACCGCTTCCCCTGCGGGCGCGCAGCAGCAGGTGGCCCGAGCGGCGGAGGGCTCTTGGTGACGCTGTCCTTTGGGTGAAGTGGAGGCGGGGGCTTCGGGGGTCGCGAGGTTGGGGGGAACAGGTCATGAGCCAGCCGAGGCCTGCCTGGCAGGTGCTGTTAATGCGTGAGTGGGGAGCTGAGATGTTAGATGTCGCCGCTCGGGTGCAGTCTTGCCACCGTGCCTGACCTGGGCGCAGGCTTCTTGGGGAAGGAGGTCCCCTGGAGCCCCTGGGCAGTGGACTGTCCCCAGGAAACCCGGCCGGGCGGCCTGTCCAACGGAGGACCCAGCGGCCGCTGCAGCTTGCCGGGCAGGAGCAGGGTGGGCTCGGTGGGCGTGGGTGGAGGACTGCTGCTGGGGAAGGCCCCCGTGTGCGAGGCACAGCGCCCACCGCGGGGTTCGGAGCGAGGTGTGGGGAGCCATCCTGCGTCTCTCCCGTGCCTGTCGCAGTCGTGTCCGGAGCTGTCTACCCTGAAGTGGGGTGTTTTTCAGCGGTGGGTGTTGGTGCAGAGCACCCCCAGCAGGCTGCAGGAGGCGGGCGCTGCCAGCCTGCACCTCCCGAAAGCACCGGTGCTTCCGGAGGAACGGGCTTGGTGCGGCACTATCACTGCAGTCCCGGGAGGGCTCCGGGCACCCGGCTCCGGCACCCCCGGGCTGGGCCGGATAAACCAGGTCTGTGTCTGGCATCGCACCGAGGGGCACTGCCGGGCTGGGGGTCTTGGCCAGCTTCAGGGTGAAGCTGCAGCTGTCAGCGGGTGGCAGAGGGTGTGAACAGGAAGGCGCTGACGCCACCGGCTGGTGAGGGGCTCAGCGGGAAGCAGCCAGGGCGCCCTTCGGGGGATGTAGTGCCCCGGAATTTGAGAGGCTTTGGAGGGGGACAGGCTGGTCAGGGAGAAAGCCCCAGCAGAAAACATGGGAGCACCGGGCCGGGGAAGTGACAGGGAAGCCTAGGAGGGAAGGTTCTGGAAGGCTAGGAAATTCAGCCAAGGGATCAGGAAAGAAGGGCTTGGGGCTGGGTGTGGCCGGGGGCTCAGCCCCGCACTGCGGAGGGAGGGAGAAAGAGGAGGGGTCGAAGGGGACCGGCTGGCCTGGGGGCCTTGGCCAGTACAGATGGGGCAGTGGCAGGGCAGTGCCGGTGTCTCAAGGGGCGGGTGGGCTCACCCCTTTAGGGTGGAGGAGGCCTCCCCGGTTTCCCTCCTTGGGGTAAGGCCAGGTGGGGAAGGCAGAGGGGCTGTAGGAGGGAGGGGAGCAGTGTGCGCGCCTGGATACAGGCGCGCGTGACGCAAGGGCGGGCTCTCCGGCCTCGCTTTCTCCTGGGACTGCCAGAGAAGGGGCTGGGCTCCGGGTGGGACCGCCCAGGTCAGCCGAGCCCTGAGCGGGGGAGGCGGCCCTCCTGCGCCCCCGCTGCTGTCCAGCACCACAGATGCAGCGGGCCCCAGGGGCAGCCTGGCCCAGCCCGCCCGGGTCCTCAGGCCGGCGCCCGGGCTCTGGCTCCGTGTCTTCACTCCCGTGTTTGTCCGAGAAGGGAGGGAGGGACGGGGGCTGTGCTGGGGCAGCCGGAATGGCACAGGTCACCGGGCCGGCTGGGCGAGGTGGCCAGGCAGGGCGGGGCGGGGGCTGCGGGGAGGCTGGCGGAGGGGCGCCACCCAGAGGGAACCTGCACAGCCCTAGGGGCGCACCCGTTTCCCCTTCCCTGCGCCTGCAGTCTCCTTCTCCTGTCTGAAGGCGCGGTAATGCAGAGTGCGCCCCCACCGGTCGCCTCTTGCCATTGACGCTCACAGCGGTTTTGACTGGGCGCAGGCTTCCCCTTCCTGCAGCCCCTCCCAGGACAGGCTCTCCAGCTCGCCCACCAGTGCTGTCCTCGTCCTGTTGAAGGAGGGGAGGTCACCCCATAGCACAGCCCCTCGGGGTCCCCTCTTCTGGGCGGGTGGCTCCTGCTCCCCCAGTCTGCCCTACCTGCAGCACCTGAGAGGGAAGAGTCGGACGGGAGCCCCTCCTTACTAGGCTGTAAGGCTCTGGCTCCAGGCTGTCCCCAGGCAGCCACAGGAAGCAGGCCTGTTCCTCACCCCAGCAGGCCTTGGGCTGCCAGCCCCCAGCCCCGTATGTCCCAGGGCAGCCCTGTCCCAGTGGGAACATGTGGACCCTGGAGAGGGCAGGCACCCTGGCAGGTGCAGGAAGGTGTCAAGCAGAGGGGGCGGGGCACTCAGAGTGGGCTTCCCGGGGGTCAGGATGCCACTCTGGGCCCTGGGGGACGGTGAGTCCTGTGACATCCAGGCCCATGGATGCCTGGGCGAGACCCCAACTGGAGATCAGAAAGCTGAGGCTGTCCCCTCCTGTCCCATACTGACCCTGTCTGTCCTGCTCCCAGAATGGGGTCCCTCAGTCCCTGTGCCTGAGCAGGTGTCCTCCATACCAGGCCAGGGGCACTGAGGCTGCATCACCACCCTGCCCCAGCACAGACTGCTCGGCTCTACCTGCCCTGGGTGCTGAGAACACAGTTACTTACCCAGGTCTAATTGGCTCACTCCAGCAGGCCACTCTGCCCCCGCTGAGGCTCTGTCCGGGGACAGCCTCCCACCCTCGGGTCCCTAGCACCCTCTTCCCATCACCAGCAGAGCTGAGGTCTGCAGCCTTGTGGAGGGGCACTCAAGCCTGGCCGTGGCCAGGGCGGTGCTCACCCTGGGGAGTTTCTGGGGTCCCTGTGCCAGGCGGGCCCTGTCTCCACCTCCCCAACCTCAGCCTGGCTCGAACTGGAGAGCTTGGGGCATCACTGGGCCTGGCAGAAAAGTGGCCTGAGCAGCTGGGTCCCCTGAGCAAGAGGAGAGACCTCAACTCCCGCAGCCTGTTTCTGGGTCTACAAGCTGGGGTCCTGCAGCTCACCAGAATGAGCTGGCCCCTCCAGCTGCAGGCTTCCTCCGACACTGCGCACCCATCCCAGGTATTCAGGCCTCGGGCACCGGTGCTGCAGGTCCCTTCATGGCCAGTCCCCAGGGTGCTGCCTGGAGCTGATGCCTGAGCAGAGCAGCCTGTGACGGGTGCAGAGGAGGGGACACGGTGTGTTGTGTTGGGTCCGAGGCCGCTGCCAGGGCCTGTGGTCGGCACCCAAGCATGCACCCCGACTTGTGACCCCAGGGCTTGGGGCGGGTGCTGGGTTCCATCTCCCACCCCACTCTGCTGGGGCGCCTGGCCCTCTGCTCACCCCGCCCTCTCTCACACTGCCCTCCCCACAGGTGAGCATCTGCGCATCTGCCCTCAGGGCTACACCTGCTGCACCAGCGAGATGGAGGAGAACCTGGCCAACCGCAGCCGTGCGGAGCTGGAGAGTGCGCTCCGCGACAGCAGCCGCGCCCTGCAGGCCATGCTGGCCACCCAGCTGCGGGGCGTGGACGGTGAGTGGCTGGGCGCAGGGGGCAGAGAAAGCAGAGACCCAAGGTGTCCAGAAGGCCACTGAGTCGCCGCTCAGCAGTGGCTCCTGGAAGCCAGGCGTGGTGGCGCACACCTGTAATCCCAGCGCTCAGGAGGCTGAGGCAGGAAATCACCGTGACTTCAAGGCCAGCCTGAGCCACATAGTGAGTTCAAGGCCACCCTGGACTACTTAACAAGACCCTGTTGCAAAAAACTCCCCCAAAAAATAAAGAAAAAAGAAAGGAAGGAAGGAAGAAATCATGGGCTCTTAGAGTCCCTGTTGGAGGCCTAAGGTCGGAGGGCCCTGTGACCTGAGAGGGAACCCCTCACCTGGGCCTCTGCATCCCCAGCAGGAGGCTGAGTGAGGTCTTAGGGAGCTCATGGAGGTGTGGGGGCTCATCTGGCCTCGGGTCTCCCCGCCCACCCCCTGCATCTGGGCCAGCCACCCAGCATTCAGGAGGAGGTGGAGAAGTGGGGTCCCCCAAAATCTCAAACTGCTCCCCCTGTGCTCAGACCACTTCCAGCAGCTGCTGAACAACTCGGAGCGAGTGCTGCAGGACGCCTTCCCTGGTGCCTTCGGGGAGCTGTACACGCAGAACGCCCAGGCCTTTGGGGACCTGTACACTGAGCTGCGCCTCTACTACCATGGCGCCAACCTGCACCTGGAGGAGACACTGGCCGAGTTCTGGGCGCAGTTGCTGGAGCGCCTCTTCCGGCAGCTGCACCCCCAGCCACTGCTGCCCGACGACTACCTGGACTGTCTGGCCAAGCAGGCTGAGGCGCTGCGGCCCTTTGGGGATGCCCCACGGGAGCTACGCCTGCGGGCCCCACGGGCCTTCGTGGCCGCTCGAGCCTTCGTGCAGGGCCTGGGTGTGGCCGGAGACGTGGTCCGGAAGGTGGCCCAGGTGTGGATGGATGCTGAGCCTGGCTGTGGGCACATAGTAGACAGGAGACAAGAGAAAGAAATGTGCTCAGACCTGGAGCGGTTGGGGTCCCCGAGGCCTGCAGGGCATGAAGCAGAGCGGGGAGCACCAGCTGCAGACCCACGTGTCCCGGGGTGTGCACGGCAGACTACTTAGCAAGTCACCCTCCCCCCCCCCGGGCCTCAGTTTCCTTGTCTGAGTGGTGCGGTATTCCCACTCCCTAGTGAGTGGTGGCTGCGCCCCTCGTGATGCGTACAATGAGTGACCAGGGTCAGCAGGGCCAGAGAAGCCCGGGAGGGAAGGCCCCACTGGGAGCTGGGCTGCCCCACAGCCCGGCTCTGATATCCACTCCAAGCCCTCACACCTGGGCTGCCAGGTGGGCTCAGGCTGCCATCACTCCCCAGGTGCCCCTGAGTGCGGAGTGCTCGCGCGCTGTTATGAAGCTGGGGTACTGTGCCCACTGCCTGGGGGTTCCTGGTGCCCGGCCCTGCCCCGATTACTGCCAGAACGTGCTCAAGGGCTGCCTTGCCAACCAGGCCGATCTGGACGCTGAGTGGAGAAACCTCCTGGGTGAGCCCAGACCCAGCCCCGGAAAGCAGACCCTGGGGTCCTGGGAGCGGGTGGTCGCTGGCTTAGGCCTTATGGGGCCTGCTCTGGGCCACATCTGAGAGGCTTCGGGGTTGGGTGACTTGGTTGGGGTGCATGCCCTGAGGAGCCCTGTAGGATTCTAGTTCCTTGTCCTGCCCAAGCAGCCAGAACCCCAACATGTATACATGCTAGCACATGTGACGTGGTCCACCAGCACCTGCATAAGCTAACATGTATGCACAAGCTGGTGTGTACCTCTGCTGCGCAAAATGGCCAGCATGCCTTCACACTGACATGGGTGTACCTACATGTGTATGCATGCCAACACACATGTATTAATGTGCATCTTTTGGCCTGAAGTCAGTGGGCATACATGTCAGCACATGTCAGGTAACAGGCATGTGTCTGGCATGGTGTGGGTCAGGATGCTTGTATGGCAACACATGAAAGTTGACACTGGGCCAACACATGCATGCTGGTATTTGTGTGCTAATGTACATTTGATAGCATGATATAAGCCAGTGGAAAACAACCTATAAGCTTCATGTATGTGTATACAAAACGTGCTACATTACATGCATGCAGACACACAGGTGTGTGCATGGACTGGCACAGGCAAGCCAACATGCATACACAGCAGCTCACAGGAACTAGCATGTATGTGAACAGACTCGCGGAGGGCAAGCATGCATCGGTGTCAGCACCCACATGAGCTAACATCTAACATGCATGCTTGTGGACATAAGCAGTGTGCCCAAGACAGTGTGCAGGCACAGTGAGCCAGGCTGGCCTGGGCGTGTGCTCCTGGGGTCCTCTACTGGCTGCACCTTTGACTGGTGCTGCAGGATGCTGTGGTGTGTTACTAACATGCACGTGTGACTGTGTGTGTGTGTGTGTGTGCACGCGCACACGCGCATGTTAACACCCATGGCAGACTCCATGGTGCTCATCACTGACAAGTTCTGGGGCCCATCGGGTGCGGAGAACGTGATCAGCAGCACACACATGTGGTTGGCGGAGGCCATCAACGCCCTGCAGGACAACAGGGACTCGCTCACGGCTAAGGTGCGGCAGGGGGCCATGAGGGGCATGGAGGGGCTGCCCCAACACCGTCCTGCCTGGCCCCAGGGGCCCTGCTGCTCGTCCAGGAGCCATGCGGTGTCCCCAGGTCATCCAGGGCTGCAGGAACCCCAAAGTCAATCTGCAGGGCCCAGGCCCGGAGGAGAAGCCACACCGGGGGAAGCTGGTGCTGCAGGAGAAGCCCCCCACAGGTGCCCTGGAGATGCTGGTGAGTGCCCGCCGCCATCCTGCTGGCCACACCGTGCCCATGTGTGGGGCGGGCAGGCTGGCCAGACCACCCAGGGCCCTGAATACGCCCACAGGTCTCAGAGGCCAAGACTCAGCTCCGAGATGTGCAGGACTTCTGGGTCAGCCTCCCCGGCACGCTGTGCAGCGAGAAGATGGCCATGAGTTCCACCAGCGACGACCGCTGCTGGAATGGGATGAGCAAGGGCCGGTAGGCACCTGGCAGCGTCCTAACGGGACAAGCAGTAGGACAAGGGAGCAGAGACGGGCCACGCCCTCACCTGGTGGACTCCCAATGTGCCCTGCCCCAGAGGGGGGACGCCTCTGTGGGGCCTGTGGGCTGCCGTCTGCCCCTCTGCTGGGGCCAGCACAGTGACCGAGCTCTGCCTGCCCTGCCCCCAGGTACCTGCCCGAGGTGATGGGTGATGGCCTGGCCAACCAGATCAACAACCCCGAGGTGGAGGTGGACATCACCAAGCCCGACATGACCATCCGGCAGCAGATCATGCAGCTGAAGATCATGACCAACCGGCTACGCGGAGCCTACAGTGGCAACGACGTGGACTTCCAGGATGCAAGTGAGCACCCGGAGGGCTAGGGCTGGGCAGGCACCTTGGTGGTGCTGAGAAGCAAGAGGGCCCTGCGGGGCCTCTGCCCCCCTCCAGGGCCTCTGCCCCCCTCCAGGGCCTCTGCCCCCCTCCAGGGCCTGCAGCCTGTGCCCTCCCAGAGGCTGGTGCTGCTGGGCAGGGTCACGGAGCCCATGGCCCTGCGGCACATTGGAGGCCGCAGCAGGATGTTCCTCTGGCTGTGGCTCCGGAGGGGACAGGAGGAAGCAGACGCAGGGGCTGAGCCTGGGCTCCTGCCTGCTCAGCCTGCTGTGGCGAGGACACGCGCACATAAAGGCCCTCGGGCCGCGTGGCACTCGGGGTCCCCCACGGGGGATGAGCTGCTGGAGCCCCTCTGCTCCCCAGGTGACGATGGCAGCGGCTCGGGCAGTGGCGGTGGTTGCCTGGACGACGCCTGCGGCCGGAGGTTCAGCAAGAAGAGCTCCAGCTCTCGGACCCCTTTGACCCATGCCCTCCCTGGCCTCTCGGAGCGCGAGGGACAGAAGACCTCAGCCGCCAGCTGCCCCGGTCCCCACCCCTTCCTCCTGCTCCTCCTCCTCACCCTGGTCCTCGCAGCACCCAGGCCCCGGTGGCGGTAACTGCCCCACAGCCCCAGGGACTGAGGCCAAGGGCGGACTTTGCTGAAACTCAAAGCAGACAATATTTAACCCCCTTGGCCTGCAGAGGCTCAGAGGACGGGGATGGCGGCTCTGCGTGCTGGGCAGGATGGCCCCAGCCTGGCCTCACCTGCCACCCTGGCTTTTAATTTTGTGAGGTCCTCAGGTCAGCCGTGAGCTGTGTCCCCAAAAGCCATAGATCTCGGGGCCCTCGGGGTGCCTCCGGCTTCGCACCCCTCCAGCTCCCTGCCCCCTCAGGCCCACGGAGGAGCTGGCCCTTGGCAGCATCCCCCAGAGACCTCGCGCGAGCCTGTGCCTTCCTCTTCTGCTCCTGGCTGCCGACGTCAGAAAGGGAGGCCCCGCCCTCAGCCTCCAGAAGCCTCAAGGACCGTGGGCCCTGCCGGGCTCTGGCGGGGCCTTTGAGCTTATGCATGGTACCTGCGCTCGGCAGGGGCTCTGCCGGGCTGGCTCCTGTGCCACTGTGGAGCCCAGTCCTGGTGATGCACAGAGGGCGGCACCCGGCACGGCCACACAGGCTCTTCCGTCGCACTTTTGTTTGAGGTGGGGCACAGTCCCCGACACCCAGGGAAGCAGTGTGGTGCTCTTCGGAGTGGGGGCTCTCATGGGCAGGCCTCCAGCATCTGCACCAGGGACCCCTCTTCTGGGGAACAGCCGGCCCCTTCTACCCCAGCCCACGCAGACAGAGTGACACAGACAAGGACTGTCACTGGCCCCAGGGTGGGGCTGGCTGGTGAAACTTCAGCTCAGGACTGGTGAGACCCGGCACTGCAGGCCGGACTCACCTGGGCTCTCCCAACCCTGGCCAGCTGCAGGGGCGAGGGAGGGAGGCAGTCAAGGGCTTTTTGGACATGCACACATGCACTCTCCCTGTCCCCGTGCCGTGCCAAGAGCCGCCCAGCGTTGGCGAGGCCTGGGGCCCACTGGGGTCCTGGTGTTCCCGGCTCACCAAGGCCATCAGAGCCAGGCTGGCCCTCCCTGCCAGGCCCAGCTGCTGCAGGCCCCAGGGAGGGGGCTGGGGTGAGGGGCTGGGGACGGCCTGGAAGCCGCTTAGTGCTTTGCTTTTCCCACCGGGTTGGGCGGCCTTCCTCCAGCAGTGTCCACAGTGCAGCAGACCAGGTCTCCAGCCACCTGTGGGTCCCCTGGTGCGCGGCAGGTGTTGTCTGAAATTGCTCTTGGACGTGTCGGGCCCAGAGCCTCAGCATGCCTAGCTGCGATAGTCTCGCTAGAGCCGTGCGGGCTGGAGGCAGGAGCCAGCAGGTCACTGGTCAGAGCGCTGAGCAGGGCCACTGCACCCTTTCTCCGTGACACCCCTGGCCACCAGTGCCAGTAGGTGATGTGTTGAATCCTTGTAACAATAAACAGCTGGAGACCTCAGCAGGACAAGCTTTCGTGGCCCCAGCATTGTGTGTGCGCACGTGAGTGAGTGTGAGCTCATGCACAGCCAGGTGTGAACCAGGCACTGTCCGGAAGGGGAAGGCCCAGGCCCGGAGACTGGGTGTGTGGGTGCCCACCCCACAGGGCCCCCTGGTGGCCAAGTCCGGGTCCTGACCTTGCAGACCCTCCTGTGGGGGGGCTGGGCCGCCTCCAGGGTCCACCTCCGGGCATCCCACAATCCTCCAGCCCCTGGGAGGTTCCAGCTCCAGCTGGGTGCCCTCCAGGATGCCCAGGCGGCCAGAGTGTAGGGACCAGCACCTTCTGGTGGGGTGTCCTGATCCTCAGTCTGCCCCTAGGCACCCTGAGTCCCTGTCCCTGTGGAGCCAACATGGCAACTCTCAGACACACCCCTGGGCTGTGCCACCAATGGTCTGCTTTATGTGGGAGCTGGTGGCCATGCTAGTCTGCCTAGGAAACAGTCCCCTAGGCATTCCTGTCATGGCACTGGACGGCTGAGGCCCAGCCAGGTGCACTCTGGAGAGAGACATGCTCCAGGCACAGCTCCCAGGGGTGCAAGAGCCCAGCACTGGCCTCCGGGGACACCTGCAATGGCCAGGTCCACGGTGGCTTCTGCATCCTTACCCACATGCCCTTCCATGAATTCCAGGAAGCTGGCAGCCCAGCTCCTCTCCAGGAGTCCCCTTCCCAGGGGATGTCAGGAGGAGAAACAGCCTTGGGGACTCAGCAGAGCCCTGTGGGACAGGCAGCTGGCAGGGGCAGGAGCTCACTCTTGGGGCCTCTGGGACACTTCCATGTGGAGCTCCAGCAAGTCCTTCCTGAGCAGAGGTGAGCACTCCTTCCCTGTCCAGGAAAGGACACTGACCAGGTGCCCAGTGCAGGGACCACCTGGGTACTGCTGCTTGGGCCCACCCTGGGTCACCCCAGCCCCCAAATGTGACCTGAGAGGCTGGTCAGGGAGAGCCACTGCCCGCTGCCACTGGGTCCTAAGACCCTGTCCACTCCTCGTGGGAGTTTGGGGAGCCACAGACATCCTGCTGGGCAGAAACCAGCCAGCTCAGCAGCTTCCCTGGAGCGTCCCATGTCACTTGGGGGCAGTCCTGGCAGACCGTCGTGGTGTCTGCAGTGCACACATGCAGATGCACGGCTTGTCCATGTACACACATGTGTATGCTCACCCACATATACAAGATGCAATGAAAAAGATGGTGTTTAAATTATTTAAAACATAAGAGACTCCAGTCCTTAGGGAAGTGCAAATCAAACCATGATGGAACCCCACCTCACATCTGCTAGGACATCAGCATTGCCACTACCCTAAGACAGTGAGGTAACAGGTTGATGGAGGTGCACTGTCAGGGGAAAACAGAGCCTGAGCCTCCTCTACAGAAAGCAGCAGACACGCAACACTTAAACAGCACCACCATGGACCCACACCCACTGCAGGGTCCACAGCTGGAGGACATTTGTTCGGCACTGAGAAGCTGGCCCCACCCTCTCAGGCTCAGCCCAGCGTCCCTCCCACAGCCAGGTGCAGGCTCCATCTCAGGGTTTGTTGGACAAGTGGACAGAGAAAACACGCCACATAGACCCCGATGGAAAATTTCTTGGAAGAGGGAAATCCCACAGTGTTCAACACAGATGAACCTGGACAGCACTATGCTAAGGGAAATCAGCCAGACACAAAAAGACAAATACTGCACAATCTCACTTATGCATAGAATCTAAAACACATTCTTTCTTTTTTGGTACTGGGGATTGAACTCAGGACCTTGTGCTTTCGAGGCAGGCAGCAGAACCACTGAGCTAAATCCCCAGCCCTAAAACACATTCTTAGAAGCCAAACAAGATGGTAGCTGACAGCTGGGGATGGTACGGAAATGCAGATGTGTTGGTCAGCTTTCATTTAGAGTGTTTACGTGCTGGGGTCTGGTGTGCACCGTGGTGACTAGTTAATAACAGTATCATTTACTTGAAATTTGAGACGAGCCAGGCCTGGGGGTGCATGCCTGTAATCTCAGCACTTGGGAGGCTGAGGCAGGAAGATTGCCATTTCAAGGCTAGCCTGAACTACACAATGAGACTGTCTCACAAAACTAAAATGCATTATGAGCTGCAGGTTGAGATGGGAAAGCCCAGGAGAGAAATACATATTCACACGTGACCAGAGGGACATCTAGCTCGATGCTTCTCAGACCTTATGCAAATATTAATTCTAGGCCGATTCAAAGACTACAGAGAAAATGATGCATTATAACTGTGGTGTCTGGGTGGAGACTTGTTTGCATAACCACACTGGGGACTGCACCCTGGGCTCCTAGAGAGCCGAGCACCAAGGGGAAGACAGACGTGATGGTGAAACAAAGCTCTGCGTGGTCAAGTCACACGGCACACAGGGTCTGGAGAGGGCCACCGCGGAGTCTAGTCAGGTAGCCAGACCTCCCCATGAGAAGGGCAGGGAAAACAGGCTAGCTCGGCACACGCATGTGGGCAAGATGCACACACAGGCGAGGGCCCCCGCCCAGCTGTGCTGAAGGGCCCAGGTCACCGCGGGAGCTTCGTGAGCCCCCCAGGAGCACCGAGAACGTGGGATGCAAAGCGGAACATGGCGCAGAATGGAGTTTAACCGTGGAATTTAACTGAAGAGACGGACAGGCCCTGTGTATGCAGCCTCCTTAAAGACTGAGCCCTCTGCCGTGATAAGCCCGTCCGCAGCCGCCAGGAGGTGACACAGGTCACGCTGCAGGCTGCAGTGGCCTTGTGAAGGCGGAGTGGCGGGGCGGGCACAGCGTGAGGACAGCGGCAGAGACAGACGGGCCGTGCCGCCCTGATCAGCTTCAGGAGGCTGGAGAAGGCCAGGTGCAGACTCGGAGGGACAGGAGTAGGCTCCCCGTGCGTTCGGAGAGCTTGTCCTCACACGTGGAGACGAAGGTCATTTTCAGTATTATTCTTGCCCACAAATCTTTTTTTCACAGTAAGCGTGTATTCCACACACAATCAGAATAAAGAATAATAACGCAACCTTCATTTGGGGGCAATGATGTTGCAGCAAAGCAGTGCGCTGGGAGGTGCACGCTGCCTTACGTGGAGCGGGCAGCCATGTCTGTGTCTGGACTCGCGCGTGTTTGTCTGACTGCCACCCTGGGGCCGGCGTCTCTGTCCCTGGTCTCTGTGCCCTGTGTGCCCGGAGAGCTGAGGCAGGATCGGAACTGCAGCAGAGGCTGGTGGAGATGGGCAGCGGACGTGTGCATCTGCTCGCTTGGCTTTAGCCGACCATATGGAGCAGAGGTGGCTCGGACAGCTGTGTCTCCACCCTGAGACCTCGCTGCCAGTGGCCCTGGAGGGGAAGCTGGCTCACCGTGGGGCCGCGATCAGTGCCAGGGTTCAGAAGTCTAGTCCCCAGCTCCAGAGGAGCCCCCATTCCCGGAAAGCCACCCATGAGCGGGCGGCCTCTTCCTCCACCAGGCACTTCCTCGCCTACCTCTGGGGCCCTGCTCAGCCTGCCCAAGCACACCCCCCACCACCGGGACGCTTGCAAATCAGGTAAAACAGTCACTCCCACTGTCGGTCAGCAGAAGGCAGCCTGGGGGACCTTGCCTGCCTGGTTCCAGCCCGGCCCCTCCTCTCGGGCCACTACCCCAGCTACTCTGCCCCCGCAGCGGAGCCCCACCCACACTGCCTGGGACACCCACCTTCCTGCAAGGCAGGCAGCCCCAACGCAGCCCCCAGTGCCCCTCCTGTCACTCCCGTCTACACGGCACTGCTCCGGCCCTTTGCCTTCTCGCACAGCGCTTTCTGCACACACGGTGGCCTGGACACACACGGTACACGGAAACATGGACACTCTGGACCCCCAAGGAGCCGTGAGCGAAGAAGGAACAGGACAGCAAGGGAGGGGCTGACCGAGTGGCTCTGGGCGCACCCTGGACCCCCACGGGCATGGAGCCCTGACCCTGCACCTCCTTCACCTGAGGGACAACACACGGCCCAGGCCTGGCCAGCGGGAGGCCGGCGAGGTGAACGTGGCCAGTGCTGGGTCTCGACCCGGGTGGACAGAGCAGGCCACAGACCTCCAGGCTCACACCATGGCCGCTTTATCACACAGTAGATGGAGGCACTGCACGCACAGCCACAGGGTACGAAACTTCCTGAATGGCCACTGCAGAGCCCAGAGGTGACCCCTGGGCGGCAAGGCACAAGCACAGCCCCGGGCCCTCCCCAGGCCCCGCTGTCGGGCACTGCTCCTTCACCGGGAGTCTCCTGCCCTCCTGTAGGTATTTGCAGAGCCGGGCACTGGACAAGAGAGGCACAGGGAGGAGGAGGGTCAGCCTGCGCCCTACGCCCCGCACACCCCAGTGTCATGATGAGAGCCCTCCACGGCCGGGCTGAGGGTGCAGAGGCGTCTGCAGCAGCTCACCCTGGGACCCCAGGAAACACAGCTGTGCCCAGTGCCCGGTGCCTGGTGCCTGCGGTTCGAAGCTCAGCTCCCAGAGGAGGAATCGCAGGTGCACAGGCAGTGGATCAGATCCAGAAGGGCAGCGAAGGCGGCGCAGCCCCTGTACTCCCAGACCTCGCCTCTGCTCCCTCCTATCCTGGGGCCAAGCCCACTGCACAGGACACCCGCACCCCTGGAGCGACAGACAGGGCCGCCAAGGAGCGAGGAGTGCAGCCTCCGCACTGAGGCTGCTGCCCAGTAGAGGACAGGAGGGAGGTCCAGGAGAGCAGGGGCTTCTACAGAGCCCTACCCGGCACACTGGGGCCGAGAGCCAAGCTGAGGCACCTCCCACGTCAGCCCAGGCCAACAGCCCTGTGGCCCAGGGACAGCAGAGCCCAGCTGGAGAACCGGTGTGAAGACCCAGAAGGGAGAGGGTGGGCGCCCCCATGCCCCCTGCCTGGCCCCTTGGGCCTGTACCTGTCCTCTGCCGGCCCGCCATGGCCCCGGCCACGGCCATCATTTCCCTGCAGTCCCTCTTGTGGAACTCGGCCCAGGCCTTGGACTTGCAGTGCTTGCTGCAGGTCAGGATCCCATAGCAGCGGGCACAGGGCGTGAGGCGGACGCCAATGGAGCGGCCACACTGGTAGCAGAACTTGAAGAAGGGCATGCTGCGGCGGAGGGGCAGTCATGTGGGGCTTCCCAGGCACACGGGAAGCAGCTGGGGGGGGGGGGCACTGGACCCCACGACGGGCAGCCCCAGCTCCGGCCCGCCTGCTCAGTTAGCCTCTCTGTCCCTGGAAGAACAGGTGGGACGTCCCCAGGACAAGGCCTGACTCGCGCCCTGATGCATGGGGCTGCTGCCCAGCACAGACCCCACGTGAGGTCGGCGGAGATGCCCTGGAGAAGCAGGGGCTAGCTCCCACCCTGCCCTGCCCTCCACGGGGCGTCTGTGACCCTGAGGCTGGCTGGAGCCTGTGCCGTGAGCAGCCACCTGGACCAGGCCACGGTACTCAGAACAAGGGAGCATGGGCGCTCCAGGCGGGGGCAGGGCAAGCCAGTGGCACCATCCAAGCCACAGGCCACCACCGCCCGCCACCCCCGGGGCCCTGGCCGCGCACTCACAGCTCCTGTCCCTCTGCGGCCAGGGCCTTGGCCAGGCCTAAGCTTCTCTTCTTCATCGTGTGGCCGGGGCACAGTTCCGCTGCATCAGAGAGGCCAGCGTCAGCGCTGGGCGGTGGGGGAGCCCACCTGCCACCCCAGCCCAGCCTCGGCGGTGCCGCCCTCCAGTTCTAAGCCCCTGCAGCCCCGCAGAAAGGCCACCATGTGGCACCAGGCTCTCTCGGCCACGCCCTCCCCTGGGGCTGCCTGCAGCCATCTGCTTGTTGAGCGACCACCTGAGCTAACTGTGATGCCCAACGAGACCTGAGGTTCCCGCAAGCCCTCGGGGTGGCCGGGGGCTCCGGCTAACCCGCTTCCTGTCATCACTGTGGCTCTCCCCGTTTACCCGTGCAGTTGGCCTGTCCTCTGAGAGGTCCAGGCCCCATCTCCACGAGGGGGTGAAGTCTGAGGCCAGCGCCACTTGGCTTCTGAGCCTCTCCCTTTTCGCCCCTGCGAAGCCAGCACCTGTGCCTGGCTGGTGTCTCCTGCTTTCTCCTGTCTCCCTCAGACGGCCCCACCGCCACCATTCCAACTCCAGGTTTGTTGACTCCTTTCCACACAGGCGGGGCCCCTCATGCCAGGACTGAAGTGATGGTGAAATCCAGAGCTCTGTTCCCTCATGGACATCCTCCGCTTGCCGTGACACTGCTCCAGCCTTCCTGTCCTGCTTCAGTGCCGGTTCCCTTGTTGATTTGATGCATTTATAACGGCTCTTTCCAAGTCTCCCTCGAAGACCTGGCCTCTGGTGTCCATGCTGACTGCCCTGCCCCAGCCCGCCCGCCGCCGCCCCATGCTTGTGTCACGCTCTCCTGGGATGCGTGAAAGTGACAGGAGAGAGTCCGCCGCACACTCCAAGTTCTGTCCCCTCACGCCCACCTGTGCCTCACTTTCCCACCCAGCACGACACTCCTGTGCTGCTCCTCGGGGCCCACAGCCCAGGTCAGCCTGGGTGCCAGGGCTTGGGGCGAGCTCTGTCTCTGCTCCTGACCTCGCCCAGGTATTAGCTCTGCTGGCCAAGGGCTGACTGCCATGGCTTTATAAGACGCCCCGGGACGTCACCCCTCCTCAGACAGATCCAAGACGATCCGAGATTTTCGAGGGCAAAGTCTGGCCAGTCACGCTGCGGCTTGTTCTGACCTCGGCACTGCCCCTGCCCGCCTTCTCTCCCTAGTTCTCTCTGGCACAGTCCATGTTGGGGCCGGCCTGTCTCCAGGGGATCTATGTCTCTTCCCAACTGCTTCCACCACTCAGCTTGAGCTGCTCCGAGCTGTCAGAAACAGGCCGAGTCTCTTTGTCAAAGCTCACAGCTTCCTCGGGTGACTCAGACCCAAGGCTGTGGAGGTGGGCAGGGACCATAGCAGCATCTCCAAGAGCAGAAGAAAGGAGGGGCAGTTGGTTGAGGCCTTCCCAGCCTCCTCCCCAGCCTGGACCCGCTGCCTGCGGGCTGCTGCAGGAGAGGCAGGAGCCAGTGCCCATGGCAGCACCGCATCCGAGGCAGAGCCGGGCCTCACAAGTGGGAACTGTGGGTGGCAGAGGCCATGGCGGCTGAGGCTGTGAGTAGGACTGTCCCTGTCCCAGATACGGGGCTGACACCCACAGCTCTAAGGAGAGGTTTCCTTCGGCCCCTGCGTACAGTCCACAGTCAACTGGCTCCAGGTGGGACAGCAGGGTAGAGGGGCAGGGCAGACCGGAAGCGGAGACAGGAGGGAGGGGCCGGAACCCGCCCAGGCCGCGCCCCCAGAGGCGCCTCTTCCGCCAGACCCCAGCTGAGGGCAGCCAGTGGGTGAGCTTTGAGCCCCATGGCCCAGTGACCCCTGAGCTCATGAGGCTTTGCAGGGACCTCCACATAGAAACCCGAACAGTCCCCAAAGCTCAGGCGCTGGAGGCTGGCCCAGGGAGGCAGTGCGCAGAGCCGGGACCCGCAGGGTAGGCGTGGGGAGGGGCTGTGCGTGAAGGGATCGCTCCCTCCCTCCCTTCCTCTTTCTGTCTCCTCTCTCCTTTCCTCCCTCTTACTTCCTCCTTTCCAGGCTTGAGGTGAGCAGCTCAGCCTCGCCACAGGCCAGAAGCGGAGCTGATGCCGCTGAGACCACGGAAACCCTTCCACCACCGCAGGGATGCACTGGGGCGTGGCGCGTGGAGGGTTCCCATAGGCGTGGGCACACGTGCGTGTGGCACAGTGAGCGTTCTGGGGATGGACTCGGTGCCAGTGTGTGCGTGGGTGTGTAGTGTGTGGAGAGAGCCAGCTGAGTGTGCACAGACAGGCGCCTGCGTGTGGCCTGCGGGTGAGTGGTGGGCACATAGATGGCTATGTGCGGGGCGAGGCTGGGGGTAGTGGGTGTGAGTGTGCGTGCGTGTACGTGTGTGTGGCAGGCAGGCAGGCGTACACGGGGCTGTCTGTGGGGGGGCCATGGTGGGTGTGGGCAGAGCTGGCTGTGTGTAGTGTGCAGGGGTAGGTGTGCACCCGTTCCTGGGGTACGCGTTGGTGTGTGTGGAGGTGCGCGTGGGGGAGAGGGTGAGTCGGGTGCTTGGGGCTAGCATCTGTGCGGGAGGGGAGGGAAGAGGCCTGGGTGCCGTGCCAGGTGCACGCGTGGGGGTGGAGGTGCTGAGGGTGGGTGGGAGAGGCGGGAGGGTGCAGAGAGAATGGAAGCAGAGTTGCGGGCATCGTGTGCAGTCGTGGGGCTGCATGCTGGGGCGTGTGCCTGGGTGAGCACCCCCCCACACACACACACACACACACACCTTTCCTGCTCCGGGACATCGCCTTCCTGTCCCACTCCCGCTCCCTGGCAAGCACAGCTAGCCGCAGCTGGGAGCCCATGTACTCCAGGAGCCTCTTCCGGGCGAGGAACGTCTCCCGCTCTGCCGGCAGCAGCACGTGGAAGGGGCAGTGGGCGATCTTCCGGTCCTGTGGTGCACCCCGGGGTCATGCAGGTCACGATGGAGCCTCAGGGCTGCCCCCACTCCTGCCAGGAGCAGCCTGAGGGTCACCCCAGCCCACACTGTGCTGTCTGTGTCCTCAGTGACCATGAGGACACACTGAGACACCCGGGGGCCCACGGGACATGCCCACCATGGCAGGGCTCTGAGCTTCACCCAACAGAAGCCAAGTCCCCTGCCAGGCCCTGGCCAGGACAAGGTCGAACCTGGAAGAACTTGAAGTAGCCATAGTCCACGACTGTGCCCACTGCCACCCGGTCACCCTGCGTGAGTGTCACTGGCTTCAGGATGTCGGCCCCATGGTTCAGGAGCCGGTCAACCTGAGGGGACAGAACCTGTCAAACAAACAGGGCCACCCAGAGAGCCAAAGAGTCACCCTCATCACCGGGCTGGGTGCACAGTCACAAGGCCCAGGGCTTCCAAGCCCTGCAGACAAAATGGGCAGAGGCAGCCCAAGGGCACCACCAGCCAAGAGCCTGGCTCCCGGGAGGGGTGTGGGGGCAGTGGGAGGTGTGCAGGGTGCACAAGACAGGAGGCAAGAGCCCCAGCCCCACCCTAACAATCCCGCACCCTGGGGAGCCCTCCTGCAGTCCTGCCCCACAGCACCCGGAACGACACCCAGTGCTGGGCCCCTCAGGCTATCAGCGATTGGAAGGCAAAGTCCAGGGGGCTTAGGCCTCACCACACCTCACCAGTGCTCAGAGAGGCAGTGCATATGTGCGTGTGTGGGTTCATCTGTATGTGTGCGCATGTGGTGTGTGGGCTGTGTGTGCAGATGTGTGTGTGACGTCCACCAGGCCCTCCCCAGCAGGGGCCAAGCGCTGATTGTATCAAAGCAAATGGCATCAGCAGACACCCCTGTTAGCACCTGACAAGGGGGGAAACAGGTTCTGCGCCTCCCATCCAGGAGCCCCTCCCAAGGCAGAAGTCATCCCTCGAGAACCAGCTTCCCTCCGGCCAGAAGGACCCTGCAGAGCTGGGAAGCAGAGCTGAGACACTGACTGCCCGGCCCCACCCTCCTCAGCTAACCCACAAGCCGAGCAGAGGCGGCCTCCTGCCTCTGTGGGTGCCCCAGGGGGCCTTGCTCCCTGTCTTCACCAGAGCCTCACCCTGACGCGTCCTGGAATTCTTGTCCCATTTTGGAGTCGAGGTCCCCACCTCCTCTTGGGGACCTCCTCAGACCCTGACCGGTGACAGCACGGGTGTCAGTGTCCCTCAGCTGAGACAGGACCCCTGGCCCTGCCCACCCTCCTCCTCACCAGGGTGATCTTATTGTCCGTGCTCCTCTGCTGCTCATAGGCCAGGTCACAGACGACGCACAGGGCACTGCCCAAGCCTCTGGTCAGGGGCAGGTTGGGGTCAGCTCCGCAGGACAGCAGCTCCTCGACGACCTGATGTAGACAGGCTCCTCAGCAGCTGGCCGTCGCCTCCTGCACAGAGGTCTCCCTGGGGCCACCAAGGCTGCACTGGGTGGGGGGTCATGCGGCCAGCCCCAAAGGGAGGAGCTGGGCCTCCCCCCCCAGGCCTGGTTCCCGCACTTCCTCTGGACACTGCCCCGTGAGGTCAGGCCCTTGGCCAGCTCCGCCCTGCACGGGACCAGCTCCACCCTGCTCGGGGTCAGGACAGCCTCTCTGGCCCCTTCATCGGGCTCTTTTACCTTTGTAGCACTGATCACTGCCTGAAATTGTGTTGCGCACTATTTTATGTCTGGCGCTCCCAGCTAGAGTGTGGGACTAGGCACAAAGCCTAGTGCCTGCAGTGACGCCTGCCTGCACACAGGTGCTCAGCAAGTAACTTTAAGGGAAAGGAGGGCTGAGTGTGGACCGTGGGTGGTGGAATGGTGGATGGGCGGGGCGGGGTGGGTGAAAGGGCGACTGGGCAGATGAACAGGTGGAGGCAGGAACCACACAGGCCCAGGCCCACGGGCGCAGAACTCGCTCACCAGGTCGTTCCCACTGGCGATGGACAGGGAGAGTGGGGAGTGGCCGCTCCACAGCAGGTTGGGACTCGCCCCGTGGGAGAGGAGGAGACGCACGACATCCCTGGCACACTGAGAGGGGGAGAAGGCCGAGCACAGCAGGCTAGAGAGGCCCCGCTCCCAAGGGGCAGCGGGTGGAGGTCACGAACGAGAACGCCACGCAGTGACCAGGCCACATCAACAGCAGGGGCTCGGGACTGTTCAGGGGCAGAGAACGGCGTCTTCTAAACAGTCCCCTCTTCCAGGCAGAAACCAGGAAGGGTGCCAATGTGCATGGAGACTTAAAGCTTGTTCCCAGAGGACTATGGAGTCAGGGCCGCGGGACCTCATCAGCAGGGCTGACACCGGCAGGTGTGATGGGAAGAATGCTCCTCACCAGGCCCAGGGGCCCCCGAGATGGCCGGAGTGCGTGCACAGGAGCCCCACCTGGCCTGACAGGCACTGTCCACGTGGTGGGGGGGCGTCCCACACCTTGGCCCTGGCCCCTACCACCCATTTTACAGCCCTGGGTCTCCCAGAAGTGCTCACGGCAAATGTCCCCCCCACCCACCCAGGGACTCTTCTCTGGGGCCCACATGGAGCCCTCCACCGAGGCTGCCTCCTCTGGGAGGGCAGATGCGGGACCCAGAGCACAGCCTCAGGAGGAAAGCTGTCCTTTCCTCTCCTTGCTGCAATGGAGACATGATGGCTGGGCAATTGCAGCCCCCATGCCTTCACAGTTGGCATCTCACGTGGCTTCTGCACACATGTGTGCCCAGAAACATACACGCATGCTTACATGCACACACTCCACACCATGCTCTTGTACACACAGCAGCTCATGCACAGACACGCACACACATGTGCAGCAAGTGCCAGCTCTGCCTGGCGGAAGCCGCTCTGAGCAGGAACCCCTGGGCTCAGTGCACAGGTCCCCCTGCCTCCCTCCCAGCCTGCCAGCCTGCACTCCGGCCTCTCACCTGGTGACTGTCCTCCCGCTCACAGGCCACGTGCAGGGCCGTCCTGCCGCCCTCCTCTGCGACGCAAGTGCTTGCTGTATAGTAGGTGCTGGGTGGGCCTGGCTCATTGTTGAGCTTCAGGCTCGAGGGCAGCAGGTCCAGCTGTGGGCAGCAGAGCTCACGCATGCCAGGGACCAGCTACTCATCAGCTGGCCAGCCCCGAGCTTCCTCCCACGCTGAGCGAAGCTCCTGAAAGTCTGGCCTCTCTGCCTGCTCCCAAGCCACTGATGCCACCCTTGACTGCCTCTCAAGCCTCTCACACACAGACCCACACACACATGTGTCCCCAACACTGTTATGCTCGGGGGGCTGCTCAAGGAGAAGAAACAGCTCACCCCCGTGTGAGAAGTAAGGCACAGCTCCCGGGAGGGTGCACAGCGGGGCCTTACGCATTGAGGGCCAGGAAGTCTCGGCAGTGGAGGGCCTGGAACTGCCCATGCAGGTGGTGCAGATGAGGCGCGCCTGTCCCCAGCACACTTGTACCAAAGCCCTCCCTCCGGCCTCCCAGAGACTGCTGCACTAGCAGCATCCTGCCCAGCTCTCTCCCTGGCAGCACTGGCACCTGGCACTGCTGCAGCCTGGGCCTGGGCATTGCCTGTCTTGTTGTCCAGTGGTCACCCCAGTGACAGGGACCAGGGTGCAGCAGGGTCCTAGCCACCACCTGCTCTGCCCAGGCACCTCTGGAGCTCAGAGCCCCCTTTCAGAGAGCCACAGGGGGAGGACAGGGACAAAGGGGCCTCCCGCAGGAGTCAGGAGGCTGATGGGGCAGCAGCAGGACTGGCCAGGGCAACCCCACCCAGTGGGCAGCAGGCTTCTGCACAAGGCTAGCCCCGGGGACATGATGGAAATGATCTAGCCACAACCATGGGCCTAACAGGCTGAGATCAGGTCACCTGCGAAATGTCCTGTGGGGGCCTCTCCGCCAGCAAGGACCCTCAAATTCTGCTAGGCTGCCTGCGGGCACAAATCCTTCAGCCACCTTTGCCCTGACTTCCCCACAGGGCATGCCTGCCAGCTCTGCACTCTCACAAGGTCAGGGCTTTTGTGCCGGGTCCTCTGTCTGCACCAGGCTCAAACTCATCCCAGGACGGGCGCCACAGGTCCAGAGCCCTCAGCCCGGCTGGAATGCTCCCCTCCCATGAGCCACAGGCAGCGCACCTTGCCTAGCTTGTACACGTCATCCTGGTCAGCCGCCTTGGCGTCCACATCAGTGATGGCGTGGAGTAGCAGCTCTGTGATCCTGACGCCCTCTTCTCCTGGAAGGGCGGCTGCGATGTGGAGCGGGGTCAGGGCCCCCAGCTGTGGAGGAAGCACAGGTGGTTGAGGCAGGCAGCCCTGAGCCAAGCAGGTCAGGGCTCAGGACTCCAGGAAGGGTGGATGCACCACGGGACATGGCAGCCTGGCCTGCGCCTGGGGGCGGAAGCGTCCCTCCGGCACCTGTCTGAGGGTCCTGTCCTGCACCTTGTGGTGCAGGGCAGAGGCAGGAGAATACCCACTCCAGGACAGATGGACTGAAAGCTCTCAACACACCATGCAAGCCACATGTGCCCAGGGCCACACAGCTGAATGCTAGGCCTGAATCGGACTGACTGGTTCCTTCCACTAAGAAAAGCTCCTTGTGGTCTCTGCCAGGCCCTGGCTCAGATGCCACCGCACTGCCAGTCATGGGCTCCTGACCTGCCCATTGTTGCCATGGCACCCCTGACCATCGGCTAGGCTGCCGGAGGACTGTCCCTTATTGCCAGATTCAGGTAACATTGGCTGTGGAAATGTTGGGAACTGCAAGCTACTACACACCCACCAGCGTGCAGGGGGCAGCAGAGAGGTGCTGGGCTTCTCGTCTTGCTTTTAGGGGTTTTTCTCATTTCCTGAGAGTAAGTGCATAGTCAGTCTAGGCAACAGGGCTCCGACTGCCTCTCTGCCAACCAGAGCTCTGACACGTGGGGCATCGTCAGACAAACGTGGCCCTTGCAGACACACCATGTTCACTGCCAGTTCAGGGGTCCGCCAGGTTTGCAGCCTTGGCGATTCTTTGGAATTGCTGGCCATTACACACAAATGGGAAGGAGCTCCCACCCTGCTACCTCCAAGGTCACTGCTCTGCTCTCCAAAAGCCTTGACAAAACACGGCAGGAGGAGCGGCCATGCGGCAACCTGAGCTTGGACTGAAACTCCCACAGTGACCGAGGTAACTGCTACAGCTTGTGTCTAGATGTTCCCCAAAGCCTCATACACTCACAGATGGGCCTTTTGGGAGGTGGCTGGATCTAGGGTGTGTGATAACTAAATGGGTTTAGCATAGTTCTGGGTGCGGATAATGGAAGCCCCACTGTGGGTGTGGGTGGTACCAATCAATAGGCTTATAGCCTGGATGGAATAAGGGGAGAGGGGGAAGGCAGGCTGCTGCTGCTGCTGCTGCTGCTGCTGCTCACTGCCTTCCACCTACCATGCCATGGACTGTTTCTCCTCTGCGATGCCCCTCTCTGTGATGCCACCCTGCCTTGGAGCCAGCCAACTATGGACTGAAACCTCTACAAACTGAGCTGAAATAAACTTTTCCACCTTTAACTTGTGGGTGTCAGGTATTTTGTCTCAGCAATGAGAAACGTAACTAAGACAGTAAAACCCTTTTCCTTTGACAGGTTAGTTGTGTTTATTAATGGAAAGGTAAAACGATGAGCTCAACCTCACTACCAGTAGAAAAAATGCAAAATTAAGCCACATTGAGGTGACAATTTCTGCCCACAGGAGGGGATGGGCTGTGGGGAACAGTGGACACCTCCCTTGCTGGTGGATGAGCAATGGGTACAAGTCCCCACAGGGGCTAATTCAGAAGTGCTCAGCCAGCAAGTCCGCTAGGGGAACTCATTCTTCTAGTAGTAACCACCAAGTGCCATGGAGCTCTCTGTTTATTCATGGCAATTTTATTTCAGCAAAAATGCAGACAGGTCAGATACCCACCCAGCAGGGTCAGGTGAAGGAACTTCTACCAAGTCCAAAAGCATGAGGGGATTTTCTATGCACTGACATGAAAAGTTCTCCAAGATAACGGTTAAGTAAAACAGGAAAGAAAACAATTGAGGCAGGTACTCCCTGTGAGCACGCCTGTGGGAGTCGGGGTGTGGGGCACTCTTCAGGGCAGCCCGGGCCCGCAGAGTCCTGACCTCTCAGCCTGCGACTTTCTCTCCCAACCTTTTCAAGTTCCGTGTGGACAAGTACAAGTCTAAGGTGCGTGAACCAGCACGAGGCCATCTTATCCTACTTGGCGGGGCCATGCGTGTTTCGGGGCAGTGCCCAGCCCCCTGCAGGGGCTGTTACAGTACAAAACCCAGAGGGACCTTGCTCCTGCCTGGATGTCTCCCCTCCAAAATTCAAGCACCCAACGACTGTCAGCATTCCCTCAAAGGGTGAAATGCAGAGATAACATCACGCTGAAGTGAACGGAGACCGTCAGGATGAGCCTCACTCGCCAACACATCTTTCTTTCCCTGTCACCAGGGCAGCTAACAGGGGATCTGGGGACAAAAGCTCAGCCTCACTTCGCCCCAGAAAGGAAAAGGAGCCAGTGGCAGGCTCCACCCACCCCACCCCGGGGCAGCGAAGTTCATGGGGCAGCCCTGCGCCTGAATGCAGGTGCTTCCAGAGCCACGTCCTGGGGGGCAGAAAGGACCCCAGCCAGGCTGGAGGTGCCACTGCCCCAGGGGCAGTGCAGGAGTGAGACGTGTGAGGAAGCAAAGCCCATGGAGCCACGAGTCTGCAAGGAAAGCCCACACCCACACAGAGCCTTCTCCTCCCGGGCGCTCTCCCTAACACAGGTTGATCTCCTCCGGAGCAGAATGCTCTTTGGAGCACATCCACTATAAGGTGGCGCTGGCGCCAAATGTGGAGAAGCAGCCCTGCAAGCAAGCCGCAGTGCCTCTGGGGAAACCACAGTCTCCAGGCTGGCCAGGAACAACAGAGGGCAGCATGGAGGCACCTCAGCTGTGTTTCCAGAAAGGAGGGGTAAGTCAGAGCCACACAGTTCCCTTTAAAATAGGAAGTCTGTGGTTTTTCTCAGCTAAGGGTGTTCGGCTGCATCTGGCAGGCCAAAGGGAGAACCTCCAGGCTGAGTGTTTTGCTAAGCAGTGTGTGTCTCCCCGCCTGCGAGGCCAATGCCCTCACTCCCCAGTGTGAGTTCCTTTAGAAGCTCTTCCTGGGCCTGCTTCAGGTTCCCAGAGGTCACCAACACCGTCCCCCGAGTGGGCCCTGTGGGTGGGCTGAGTGACGAAGACGTAGGCCCTCGGTCCTGGCTGGCTGTGCCCACCAGGGGTGGCACCTACTTGGGGTGGATACCGGATGTCAGTCCTGGCTCCGCTCTCCAGCAGCACCCTCACCCCGTCCACATCCCCGGCCTTCACGGCGAAGAACAGGGCCCGCATGGGCACACAGCACAGGTTGGGGTCTGCGCCTCGGTGCAGAAGCAGCTTGATGGTCAGCCACCGGCACCTGCGTCTGTGGGGCCCAGCAGGAGGGAGGCTGTCATGGCGGGAGGGAAGACCCCTTTGCACAGCACAGGGTGGGTGCTCCCTGGGGGGAGGGCTGTCCGGGAAGGCCGCTGGCCCCACAGACACCCGAACCTGACACTCACAGCCTAAGGTCACCCCCTTCCAGGGGCCCCAGTCCCTGTCCCCAGACGTGCAGCAATACACCTGGCACCAGCCAGTCCCTGCTGGGCTCCAGACCTGGATGGGTCACAGCCTCACTGCGGTCACCTATGAGCAGGGTGCAGGGCTAGGGAGCCCCCACCGTGGGACAGCAGACAGCGGGGCAGCACCCAGCCCTGAGTGGGAAGGTGCACCACCCCACACCCCTGGAGACGTCGCCCGGGGTACAGCAGGGCAGCGAAGTGCACCCTCCAGCTCAGCGCTGCCCAAGTGACCCTCCACCCCAACAGCTGGCACACAGTGGCTTACTTGACCATGGACCATGCCATGCTCCTCACAGTCCCCTTGTCTGGGGCACCAGGGACCTGCAGCATGCTGTAGGCCTGGGCGCTCTTCTCCAACATGTCCCTCGAGAGCTGGATGGAGTAGCTGCGCACACACAGGTCAGACTCGAAGTGTGCTTCACTGCACGGGGGAGACACGTCCAGGCCTCCTGGCAAGCCCTCCAGCCCTCTCTCCCTGTCACTGACGGTGCCCTGACCCGAGGGGAAGCTGGACTCCGACTCCAAAGACTGCTGAGTGCCCGGGGCTGAGCCATCCTCCTGGCTGCCCGAGGTGCATGACGGCGGCTTCTGCTCCCCGCTGCCTGGGGAAGATGTGACCACTTCGTAGGTGGACTCCACATGGGTCTCCACACACGAGGGCGATGGTTTGGGGGTGAAGAGGGGCTTTGGGTTTTCCTTTGAAAAGTACCAAAAAAAGTGTCATTAGGAGAAAAAAGAAACGGAACTAGCTCATCCCACAACTGTCTTCAGCAAGCCCCTGTGCCATCTCCAAAGCCCCAGCCTGGGAGACAGGTGTGGTTTGGGGATGCACCTCTCTCACCCTCAGAGAGGACGGAGACACCTGTGCAGCCACCACGGAGCCCTGAGGCTGTGCCGTTCACACTCAGGGCTCAGGGCTCGCAGTGTCACTGGCCGTGCCCCCAGGCTCCGAAACACAGCCTGTCTGGGATGGACTAGACGCTGCCTGTGCGAGGGAGGGGCCCATGACAAAACGTCTCTCTCACTCCTGTTCTTGTTATACTGACTACGAGCAGACAGGAACTTATTTTGGATACTTTAAACTAAAAAAGTACATTATTGCAATTATTTTCAGCTGATTTACTTTTTTAATGTGACCACTCAAAAGTGTAAATCATGCATGTGGCTCATGCTACGGTTTGCGCCATATTTCCTTCAAATGCACTGCTCGGGCTGCTCCTGCTGTGAGCCTCCATTCTCGGCACTCAGTCGCCTGATGAGCTGCATCGGTGTCACGCAAGCTTGTGGGAAATGCACATTCGGCAGCCCTGCCTTGGGAGGGTCCTGGATGCCACCCCTTCTGTCACACTGAGGGAAGGGCAGGTCTCGGGGCCCAGGTGCTGCGCTGGTAGCTTGTAAGGGGCCCAAGTGGCTCGGCCCCTGTGGCACGGCACTCAGAATCCCTTGGGCAGTGCCCAGGCTCTGTTCTGACCCCTCCCCACCACCCTGGGTGAGCCTGGTCCACATAGGAGGGTGGGCGGCTGGTGGACATTAGAGAGGGGCCCAGACGGGGCCCAGAGAGTGGAGTGGGGGCCAATGAGGGCTGACCTGGGGCACAGTCCTCTCGGCAACATTGGGCTTGAAGGACTCGCTGGGGTAGTAGAGGAGGAAGCACATATTGAGTGGTGTGAGGCCCTCATCGGTGAACTTGTTCACGTTAGCCCCGTGGTCCAGGAGAAGGTTGACGATGTCATTGTGACAATGCACCTAGAGGGAGACAGGCCAGACTCAGGAGGACAGCAGCTGGCTCTCAGCAAGGACTGAGGGGGTCATCTGGTGCTTGCGCTGCCCCTCATGTGGGCCTGCCATGGCAGGGCAGGCGCAGGGGCTCCTGCTGGAGTTTGGAGGAAGACAAAGGCCAGAGAGTGGCAAAGTGTGGAGAAGCGGCAACGTCCTGCTCTCCCCTCCTGGCCTTGTGTGTCACTGAGGTGACTGGGTCTATGCTCAGGAGGGAAGGGTAAAGGTGCACCCCTAGGACCCCCGTGCGCCTCTGCTTTGTTCCTACAAAAGGGAGGGGAGACCCTAACATGAGTGCACCCCAGTGGGGACCCTCATGGCTCAGCATTCCTTGGCACCCACCAGGTGGGGTGGGGGCTTACAGCAGCTGCAGCAAGCACAGTGTAGCCCTTCGCATCGGTCACGTCAGCATAGGCCAGATTGTCCTTCAGAATCCCATAAACCCGGTCGTGGTCCCCTTCCTCGGCCTTCAAGATCAACTCCTGGGAAAACTGCTCCTTGGGCCCAATGCTCGCAAAGCCACCGCGGTCCCCCTCCAAGATGGCACCCATATTCCAGCTGGTGTGAGCTTTCTTGTTCCTGGCAACACAGCAGGCCTCAGTGGTGGGAGACCGGGCTCTGGACAGCCCGACATCTTCCACGGCCAAGGGCCCAGGGAGAGCCCTCCCACGCCTCGAGGCCCCCACATTGCCGGAGCCCTCTTTGCTCCAATAGTCTACTCCTTGGGCACCCTGAGCCTGGCAGCTACACCACCAGCAAGGCACAATCAGAGTGTGGTACACAGTGGTGGGGACATGTCACCTAGAGCTAAAGACATTCAGCCAAGTGCCTGTCCCAGCAGGCATGTGCCAGCTGCACGTAAGCCCCATGCTTCTCTGATTTATCTGGGTCATTCTGTGTCTGTTGGGAAGCAGGCTCTCAGAGCAGGAGTCCTGTGGAGGGGTGGGGTCCTGAGACACGCCTGGACCCACCACGCAGCACCAAGCACCCACATCCTACCCTCTGCTCACTTGCTTTCCTGTTTGGATAGAGATTTTTCCATGGTCCATGGCCTATTCATCAAACAACACTGAAGCCTCCTGTGTACACGAAACTCCCATTCACAATCAAGAGCCCATAGATTTAGGGCAATTTCTGTACCCAACAGCTGTAAGTAAAGTTCAGTTGATGTCTGCAAGATGAATGGCTGAATGGCTGGGAAGATGATGGGTTGCGTGGCTCAGTAAGTGAGTAGATGCATGGGTCTGTGGCTGCCTAGAATGAATGGCAAGAATTTCTTGAATTTTTTAACTTATGGGAAGGGGAACAGGACCTGGTGGGAAGGGGCTGCAGGGGAGAAGAAGGGGAGAAAGCAGAAAGAAGAACAGTTTCCCTTAAGTGGGTGCGGATTTTCCTGCTGCTGCGGATTGGGGCAGCATGGAATCACGGGAGGCCCACAGAGCAGCTCCATGCTTTGCTGCCATCCTTCGGAACTGAGTTCCAGTCAGCCTGCACAACCCATCCAGCCCTGTAGCCCACATCCCCTCCTTTGCTCTTGGCCAGATCCTGCACCACCTCTGCTGACATAACCTTCTCTCCAGGTCGATCCTGACTGGGGACTTGACCCATGGAACACTTAGTCATGGGCACAAACCCTGGCTCAGGGTGACTAGCTCAGACTTACAGAAGAGGAAATGCACTGTCTGAAAGCCAGTGTCTGCACTCAGGTCTGCGACCAGGAGTTTATCCTCCTAGGAGTGCACACAAGCTTTGGGACTGCCCTGCTGCCCTCTCGCCAACAAGCTCCCAAGCACGCCTTTCCTAGAGAGTGGACGAGTGGGGCCGTGGGGTGCCCACTCCTCTGTGCCAGCCCCTGACACTCGGGGAGCCACCCGGCTCACAAGTTCGCGGGGACCTCTCCCCCACCACTCCCGGACTGTAACTGTCACCGAATGAGAGCTTCACATTCGCATCTACCTGATGAACAGCGCCGAAAGTCACTGGGCCTCAGGGGCAGTCTGGCACTAAAGGACCCCGGGCAGCACCTGAAGGGGACGTCTGTCCCCTGAGGGACGCCAGACTGGGGAGAAAGACCAGCCTGATCACCTGAACTTGTAAGCCTGCTTCTGGATTTTGACCAATAAAGGAGTTTTGTTTGCTGTGAACCAGGGCTCCCCATCATCGACAAATGGCGGGATGTCATCCAGAAAGATCCGGGCATCCAGCTCTCTTCGGAAAGAGCTTGTCATGGGCAGGTGGCAGTGGTCGGTGGAGTAGGCCTGCATTTCCGGGGGCAGTGTCAGGCTATCGCTCAGGAGAAACCGCTTGTACTCATAGAAGAAGGGGTCTTGGCCCTCCAGCGGGCCCCACTCCACTCCCTCCTCATCTGAGAGGCTGATCCTCTCCCGAGAGCACGTCAGGAAGGCCGAGAACTCGGGGTAGCTGAGCACGGAGAAGCTGCTGGCAGTCTTCGTGACCAGCTTGATGAGGTGAGTGCGGAACCACAGCCCCACGTCCTGGCTGCCATCAGGGTAGGTCTCAATGCCCGGCCCGAATCGAATGTCTGCTTTATACAGGCCCTGCAGGGGAAACCGACAGGGCCGTGGGAGAGGTTGAGCAGAGCTGGACACTGGTGACCAGCTTCCTAAAATCAGAGGAGAAAGTCATCCCGCAGCAGCCTGCTCATTCCTTCAACACATGCTTGGTGAGGGCAGGGCCTGCCGGGCTCTGGGGCCTCAACAGGTCAGTTCCGTCGTACCATCGGGTGCACCACGGATCAGTGGGGAAGGGTGCTGAGGAGAAAGCAGAAGGGCACAGGGCAAGCGGGGTGCTGCCTCTCGGAGGAGGAGCAGGAAGGGCGAAGGAGAGGCGGAGACACAATGGGAGGGGTCCTTCCCAGAGCCTCTCAGCCACAGCTTCAGCCTCCATGCAGACACTTTCAGGGACAGCTGCTGATAACAGAGGGAGGAGGAGGAGGAGGACAGGAGCAGGTCCTGGCTACCTTGCTTCCTGGACAATTTCCGGGCTCTTCCAGAAGCTTCCATCACTTGAAATAGCCTCTCTCTGTCTCTCTCCCTCTCCCTCTCCCTCTCCCTCTCCCTCCCTCTCTCTCCCTCTCCCTCCCTCTCTCTCCCTCTC